TAAATGAATGATGGTATATGCAGAGACTCATGGTTGCTCAAGGTTATGAGAATAAGTGACAGTGGAATATGCCACCCTATTCCACTTCCCAGGCTTAGAGATTGTTGCAGAAGAGGAAGTAGAAAGAATGTAAGAGCTGGAGTGTAGGGAAAAGGGCTGTGAAATTCTTCCCTGTAGGCATGGCACAGTCCAAGAAGTCATAACCTCATAGCAACTATGATTGCTGCAGTGGGACTATCAACAGTTAATAATGGATTAGAAGGAAATCACAGGGCCCTGTCCTCCTGGCTGGACTATTGGCTACTGATGGTTTGTGTTGGAGAGGCAGTCAGGTGTGTGCCCACTGAGGCTCCCACCAGGCTCCAGTAAATAGTTCCAAGTTCATGGACACACAGATGATCCTAGTTAACCTCTGATTCTCAAAAACAAAAACAAAACAGAACAACACAAAGAAAAAAAACAAAGACATAATTATGGGAGAGGGACTTCTGGGGAGAAGGGGTTTTAATAGGAGTGGGAGGGGGATTAGAGAGGCCAAGAGGTGCAGTGATCAGGAGGGATTTTATACACATATAAAATTATCAAAGAACAAACTCGATAAAAGTAATAGAGAGAAAATGGGAACAAACACTAAAAAGAAAAAAATGATACCCTGTTCTGTGAAATAATTGAACAGAAAAACAATTGTATTGTCTCTGTTCCCAGTTCTTTAAAATCATCCCTTTTAAGTATATGAGTCAGGGTGTTTTTTGTTTTGTTTTGTTTTGTTTTGTTAAGATGATTAACAAGTTTGAGAACTTCAGCTAGTAACATTTTCAGAAGTGAGCGATCCTAACAAAACTTGCAGCCATCTTTTGGTAAGTCCTGTATCTTGTTCAAAAGGAAGAAAATCAGAACTAAAAATCTAAGCATCAAAAAAACAAATAACCCAATTAAAAAATGGGGTACAGAACTAAGCAGAGAGTTCTCATAAGATGAAACACAAATGGCTGAGAAACACTTAAAGAAATGTTCAACATACTTAGCCACTAGGAAGTGCAAATTAAAACTACTTTGAGATTTTATCTTACCCCAGTCAGGATGGCCAAGGTCAATAAAATAAATGACATCACATTCTGGCAAGGTTGTAGGGAAAAAGAAACACTTATTCATTGCTGGTGGGAGTGCAAACTTGTCCAGCAATTGGAAATCAGTGTGGCAGTTCCTTAGGAAGCTGAAAATAGATCTATCTCAAGATCTAGCTATACCACTCTTGAGCATATACCCAAAGGACTCTACATCCTACTACAAAGACACTTGCTTATCTATGTTCATTGCTGTTCTAGTCATAAAAGCTAGAAATTAGAAAGAGCCTAGATGTCCATCAACTGATGAATGGTTATTGAAAATATGATACATTTAACAACAAATAAATATTATTCAGCTGTTAAGGAAAATGAAAATTTCAGGTAAATGGATTGAGCTAGAAAAAATAATCTTGAGTGAGCTAACCCAGACTCCACAAGACAAATATTGTTTATTTTCTCTCATATGTGGGTGTTAGCTTTTAGCTTTCAAAATATGTGCTACAATCTGAATAGCCATAGAGGTCAGGTACCTGGTAAGAGACCAGGGAGAAGGAGAGGTTCTTCCAAGGAAGGGGAGATAGAGTGTAGTGTTACGGAGAGATAAAGGCAAAGCTAGAATAGGATTAATTAGAAGAGAAGGGTAGAGGAGGGATGTGGGGAGTGGTAACACTAAGAGGACATTGGAACAGCCACATGGAAACCTACTACCATAGACGTTCCTAAACTATGTACATATGTAAAAGAAATCTAAATGAGTCTCCAAATAATAGGAGTGGCAATGCCCCAACTAGACATCTTATACCACCAAATAAATCCCTCAGTGCCAGGAATGTTACATCTTATTGAGTCACTGACCAGAGAGGTACCATGAAACCTCCCCAAACATCATAGGCTATTGCCAGTGCTGTTGCTTTCTCTCTACAACCTGATCATAAGGCCCTATTGCAAAGACAACACTTATTTATGTGACAGAACTATTGGTGTAATTATTAAGGCCACTCCACGTAGTTAAAAGGGAGGTTTATTTAGTGGCATAACTTACAAATGAAGGGATAGGTAGGTTGCAGGGTCTGGGAAAGACGTAGTGCAGTCCGGCGGTGTTCTCTGGAGAACTCTGCTCAGTCTACCTCCAGCATCCAGGGTCCAGGAACCAAGAGAGGGCGGCGCATCCGGATCTCGGGTCTTCAGGGCCCTCTCTTGGCCCCGCTTTGTAGGCGTGACAGTTACCGAAGCCTCATTGGGGGTTGGAACCTCCAGATCAAAGCTGGAATGGCTATCCACTACACAGAACACTTGGAGAAGTAGAGCTGGTGCCCAGCTGGAAACTTCATCCCTCTTCAGTAGTGTTCTTGGTACTAGAAGGTACTCTGAACAGTTCCAGAGGAGAAAAGTAATCATCAATGTCACCCAGCTACAAATCCTGCGACCTACAACAGTGACCTGCCTGCAGTATAAGCTGGTGCAATAGTGGTACATGTGTTACGGGAGTCACCAACCACTTAAAAAACACAGCAACTGGATTTAAGGCACACTCCATGAGATAGAGCCTATCCCTGACACTGCTAAAAGTGCCAAGAACCTGAGACTAGATAGGTCGTGGGCCCAGGGAAATGCCTACTACTATTGCTCTGCTAAAGGATTACAGTATTAAAATGACTCCTAATTGCATACCCCTATACTTATAGATCAGTGCCTCACTCAGCCCACATCAGAGAAGTTTCTTCTTGCAGTAGGTGGGAACTGACACAGACATCCACAACTGGACAATGTACAGCGTGACAACTTCGGAGCACTCAGTCCTAAACGGGATGTCTTCATCAAACCCCTCCCCTCAAGGCTCTGGGATCTATGTGGAAGAGGAGGCAGGAAGATTGTAAGAACCAGAGGTGGTGGGTGACTCAAAGGAAACTGTGTTTTCCAGACACAACATGACTGATGCACATATGAATTCACAGAGACTGTGGCAGCATGCACAAACCTGCACAGATTCAGGGTAGACAGGGTCCCAGCACCGAAAAGGAGTAGTGGACATGGGCTCCCACCCCTAACCAAGTAGCTATCTGCAACCGATACCCACTGTCAAAGGGAAAACCAGTTTTCTCCAATGCAGTCTCATTTGGTATATGAACCACTTTAAAGGACAGACCCCTTGACCAGGAGTAGTTGGCTAACACAAACGAATTCCATGTTTTTTTTTGTGTAGGCTTTTTGTTTCATTTTGTTTTTGTTTTGTTTTGGCATTTTTCTGTCTTACTGATTTTTTGTTTGTTCTGATTTTCATTTTGTGTTTTGTGTTTTTATTTTCCTTTTTTAAAAGAGAGAGCGTGAAGTTGGGTGGGTAGGGAGATAGGAAGCTGGGAAGGATCTTGGAGGAGTTTGGGGAGAGGAATCATCAAAATATATTGTATGAAAAAAGTTTTTTAAATAAAGAGAAAAAAGAAAATCAAACCAATACAATGGAAGAGCAGTTCAGATACACATTTTCTTGATGAACTTCCTACTCTCTGGATTTTTTCTTTTTGTACCTGCTGTCTTCACATCCAGACAATGTTCAGACCTCAGAGAGAGAGAAGAACTTTCACTGTTTTCTCAGCTATGAAGGGCTGTCAGTGTTTGAGGGAGGGATAATGAGACAAATGTATTCGGGATTAGTACTCCCATGAATAGACCTGATTAGAAAGATTTGGTTTATTTTGGCCTTCCATGAGATTGTGGGGGTACCTCGAGATGCAACTCGAAGCCAAGCTCTTTCTTGAGGGTGGAGGAACATATAGATATACTACTACCATGGAGCCAATGAAGGAACTTTTCAGAGGGTCAACAGTGAGATTTTTATTTAAAAGCTGAAATGTAGCTAGAGTTTTCCTGCCTGGCCCACAGTCAGGACAAATCTCTGTCACCTGCCAGTCCCACAGCCACTCAGACCCAACCAAGTAAACACAGAGACTTATATTGGTTACAAACTGTATGGCCATGGCAGGCTTCTTGCTAACTGTTCTTACAGCTTAAATTAATCCATTTCTATTCATCTATACCTTGCCACATGGCTCGTGGCTTACCGGCATCTTCACATGCTGTTTGTCCTGATGGCGGCTGGCAGTGTCTGTGACTCAGCCTTCCACTTCCCAGCTTTATTCTCCTCCTTGTCCTGCCTACACTTCCTGCCTGACTACTGGCCAATCAGTGATTTATTTATTGACCAATCAGCAACACACTTGACATACAGACCATCCCACAGCACTGAAACTTGACTTTAAGTACTCAGATACTTAAATTCATTAGCCATTTTCGAGACTACCATGATAAATAGGAAGTATTTTAAGTGTCAGAACTGCAGCTGACTCAGGACTATGGTCAAATGAGATTTGAATAGTTTTCTCCAGACTTAATCTATAAAGTATAGATAGGTTGAATAGAGATAAAAGAGTGAAAATATTCAAGAATAGTTCTAAGGCAGTGGTTCTCAACCTTCCTAATGCTGCAACCCTTTAATACAGTTCCTCATCTTATGGTGACCCTCAATCATAAAATTATTTCATTGCTACTTCAAAACTGAATTTTGCTGCTTTTATGAATTGTAACTTAAGTATCTGATAGGTAGGATATCTGATATGCAGCTCCCAAGAAGTTGTGACCCTCAGGTTGAGAACCACTGCCCTAAGGGTTAGAGGTGACAGGCAAAAACAACAAGAGATAGGAGTTGTGTGTGTGCACACATGCTCCTGCATGCATTTGCAATGTGTGTGTTTTAAGTAACTGTCATATAGTTATATTTAATTACAAACATCAGAGCCCACAATGCATTGCCAAGCAATGGTGGGAGACTTGATAGTTTAAATGGAAAAAAAAATTCAAGCTGAGTATGACTAATTAAAATAGAGCATATTGAACTCTGAAGTAAAACTTCACCTCCGTCTTGGTTTAAACTTGCAGGTCCTTGCTAAACACAAAGGGTTGCGATGGGATAAAGTCCTGCGGCTAGAAGAAGTGCAAACCAAATTGGGGATTAGTCTGCAAGAAATGCTGTTGGTCACAGAGGATGCCCTTCATGCTGAACCCTACAGCAGGGAGGAGATCTGCAGGTACCTGGGAATTAGCCTGGAGGAACTCCGCACCCAAATCCTGACTCCAAATACTCAAGATGGTGAGTCTGCTGGAAAAAGGTTGGTGTGGCCATTTGCCTCACACAGATGGGAGTATTCAAACTCCCCCATGGATACTACGGATTTAAAATCGCATGTTAAGGAATTTGGAGAACATGTATGCTTTGGCTAACTGCGTTGTCTAGGTCTTTAGCTTCCTGCCTACTCACTTATCAACAAACATTTCTTACGTGTATAGCAGGCGTCTGTGTCTCAGGAGGCTCTCAGCTCTCTGATTCCCTCTTTTTGGGTTTATTTCTCCTATTTGCTTTCTAGTTACATTATTAATATAAAAAGATTAGGTTAGAGCGTTACTTGTAACTGCTCTACTATTACTCTGAGCACAGGAACGTCTTCACTGCTTCGGTTGAAGTTTGTAGCCTGCAATATGCCAAAATGGCAGGTTATTATTATTTTTTGCTGGTTGCCTCTGAACAATGCTGTTTTTTTTTTTTTTTTTCTTTTTTTTTCGAGACAGGGTTTCTCTGTGTAGCTTTGCGCCTTTCCTGGAACTCACTTGGTAGTCCAGGCTGGCCTTGAACTCACAGAGATCCGCCTGGCTCTGCCTCCCGAGTGCTGGGATTAAAGGCGTGCGCCACCACCGCCCGGCTTACAATGCTGTTTTTATCTAATGGTATCAGGAACAGATGAGGATGGGGTACATTTTAGAGGGCCTGTCATGAAGTTTTGAGGTGGTTGTTCCTCTTAGAAGAAAAGGTTTTCTCTTTGTGGGAAGCTAGGGACCTGGATATCTAATTGAGTTTTAATTTCCTGTGAGGGGAAGTTAGGGAGGCAAGGGCTTGGTGCAGAGATCAGCCTCAGAGCCCCATTGTACTGTGCTATTCGGTTGAGCTATACAACTGGCTATTGATCACCTTTTATGGAATTCTGATGCTATCTATCTATCTATCTATCTATCTATCTATCTATCTATCTATTTATTTTTGTGTTACTAGAAATCGAATCCAGGACTTCATGCATGCTAAGCAAGTGCTGTTTCACTAAGCTACATCCCCAGGCCTTTATTGAATTTTTTGAGACAGGATCTCACTAAGTTTCCCAGACAGGCCTTGAACTCGCCATGGAATCCAAGCTGTCTTATATAGTGTTTGGAATTCTCTAGCCCCAGTCTCCAGATCTCTGATCATAGGCCTCTGCTACAAGACCTGGCTCCAAAGTAATGTCTTAGGGCTGCAACTGATGACAACTTTGGGACAAGATAAGGGGTGCTTTGAGAGCAGGGACTGCGTTTTGATTTCTAACATTCTTGTATCTATTGCAGTTCAGACTCAGTCTCTAAAAGTGGACGAGCACACTTGAGTGCTGGCCAAAGCAAGCCTACCATCTGTTTTTGCAAGAAGAAGTTTTTGCTCGACCACAGAGATCTATTTGCTGTGGTTCTTTGGTTCTCCAAGAGCTGAGTGTGACATTGAGTAACCCACAAAACCTGAGAGATTTCCTACTTGGCCCTTTGCAGGAAAAGCTTGCTGATTCTTGCTCCAGAAAAACAGTTGACTCAAGTTTTCTCCATTTCGCCATGTAAAGAGGCACATTGGGAGGTCCCCCCGTAGAGGAGCAACCATACAATGTACATGAACAGAGCTCAGTGCTGGAGAGACGAGTGTGGTCATTGAGGTCCACTCGGCAGACCAGAAAGGAGAAGTCTCATTGGCTTTCCTAATGATGTAGCAGCTACCAAGGGTTAAAGAACTGATGAATCCCAGGCAGACAGGATGGCAAGTGCAGGCCAGAGACATGGAGAGGGCTCCATGCCAGAGAAGGGGGATAGCAGAGCATGTTTGGAACTCATGCCTGCAGTGAAGAGTGGTGTGCTGGGAGGCAGAGGCTGTGGACGGACCCAGCTCACCAAAGCCTTCATAAATAATGCTGTGCATGTGTGAGTTTCTAGGTGTATTTTCTCGTTTATGTGGAATCTGGGTTTATAAATACATGCGACACTATTTAAGGAAGGAAAGGGACCAGCAGGATGCTGGATAAGAGAGGGTAACGAGGAGTTGGGTATGAACAAAGTGCAATGATACACATGTCGGAAAATGTTGTAATGTAACTCATCACTGTGCACACTAATTAAAATTAAAGTTTATTAAATGAAGAAATTGAGTAGAGCATTGGGAGGGAGGGCATCCAGGGAGTCTGACTTTCTCTTTTGACCTAAAACATTGTCTAATTTAACTTGGCAGATAGGCTGGGGTAAGTAGGGTGAAGTCTTCACCTCCTAGTGACTCATTAAGTATCTCCTAGGGATAAGGGCCACACAACAGTCTGACAAATATTTGCTAGAACCAGAGCGTTTGCCCTGGGAGCCTGGAGGAGATGAGTGGCTGCGATTCAGAAGAAGGAAACGTGAATTTGAGCTGGTTCCTGTAGAAAAACTGTGGATTCCCCAGCCTGAGCGGGTGCTAGGCTGTTGTCGACAGAGTAGAGGCTGAATAAAGGGGGCTCCAGAGGCTGAGCGTTGGAGAGTGTACCAGGAGGCACAATGTGCAGTGCAAGGCAACAGATGTGTTGGCATGGATGCCCATTCAGAAACTAGGTCGCTGCTCTACACTGAAAAGATAAAGCATTAGTGGTGGCTAGGCTCTCCAGACAGCAAAGGAGAGTTCAGTTAGAGCTGTTGGAGGAAGGACAGGAGGGACAGAGGGAGAGAGCAGCAGAAACCGCAGGGAGGCAAAGCTAAGGCATAGGCTGCTTAGGAAGTTAAGGATGCCATATGAGAAGTAATTTGGGGAGACAAGGTGACATTCATTTTTTTTCATCATTTTTTTTTCTAGTGCTTGAATAACGATGTAGAGCAGGCGTGTGCCTCAATGAAATAGTGTGGTTTGGGGGTCGCTGGTGAAAAGGTGAGGGAGTCGTGGGTGCTGAGAAGATTCTCTCAGTGATGCTCTTGGCTCAGTCTTTCCATAGTGAGCTTCTCTGAAGGTTCAGAAGCCTTGGGGCTGCCTCAGTATGCTTCGTCTCCTGGTAACCTTTGTCTCTTCTGTCCCATTCACCTCTTGAACCTGAGCACAGCCATGAGGACAATGTTGCCTGGGCTAGCCCTTACCCGTACTTCTCAAAAGCTAGGTCTTGCCTCAGGCTTATACTGCTAAATAACACTATTTTTCTTATGGGTATTCCTCTTTCTGAAAAGAAATTTTAACCTTTATGGAAACTCAGTAAAATCTACGCTCTCTCTTTAGACATCTCACCTGACCTCAACTCTTTCTCTGTATCCGTTTTCTCTTTCTGTATCTAGCAGTCATTCTTCTTCTCCTTCTTTTACCGTTGTTTGGAAAAAGTTAATTTCCCAGAACTCCTTGGACAATACAAAGGAAAAATTAATAATATTATTTAAATAGTTTTCCCTTAAAGTATTTTTTTTATAAGTAATGATGCATATTTCATCTCACCTCTATCCAACCTACCTGTTCCACTGCTTTTATATATTCCTTTCTATAATTTTTGTTGGTTTGTTTTTTTTGAGACAGGGTTTTTTCATGTAGTTTTGGTGCCTGTCTTGGAACTCGCTCTGTAGACCAAGCTGGCATTGAACTCACAGAGATCTGCCTGGCTCTGCCTCCTGAGTGCTGGGATTAAAGGCGTGTGCCACCAGTGCCTGGCCCTTTTTATAATTTTTACTAGTAATTTATTAATGTTTTGTTTACACCCATTAAGTCTCTGTTGGATGAATTAATCCAGTTTGTACTTCTTTTATCCTCAAGGGATTTCTCCTTCATTTACTGAATAACATTTTAAAAACTAGGAATGCAAGTTAACACATTGATTCTAGATTCGTATAGATTAGTATTACTTGATTAAATTTCTAAATCTAGTCATCTTGCTCCTGCTAGTTTTTCAGGTGAGTTTTGAGGACCTGAATCTTTTTTTTTTTCTTTTTATCTATTTGGTGTGTCCTTCTGAGTTCTTGTTTTGTTTGATCTAAGACTGTAAGCAAGCCTTTCTCTTAGCCATTTGGAAGACAGGGCTCTTGCTGAGGTCACTGTACTCAGATTATATTATTGGAGGCAAGGATGACAACGACTTCTAGCAGAGAGCTCTTGAGGGTGCCCTGCCCTTTCCCAGAGGTGCCCACATTTTGCCATGTCTAGTTTTGACTTGAACTGATTTCCCCAGCTAACTGACTTGGAGCTTCTGCCAACCAGCCAGACCCCAAAGCCCATGCACAATTGTTGTTTTCTTTTTCCAAATTCCTAGTAATTAGATTTAGAAATGTGCAGAGCCATTAAAATTAAACCCACACTCTGAAGGAAAATCCTCAAATCCTTTAGGTGTTTGAAATGGCTGCAGACTAACACTCGGAAGTAATTAGGACTGGTAAGAACTACTTGCTAGGCAGTGAATATACTGCGATTGTTTAGGTGCGTGCTTTCATGGTCTGGGGGCCTGGAAGCTCAGAGGCCACACTTAGTTCGGGGGACTGTTTCCGAAGTCACAATGAGAGAGGAAGAGATGCAGGGAGCTGGGAACCGTGTGCACAGTGCCAAGCACAGGGCAGTGGCAGTAACACACATCAGGAGACAGAAATTTGTGGAGAAGGTGGGCCCTGAGGTAAGAATGGGCTGGTTAGCTTGGAGGTCGGCTTACCAGAGGGAGCACTCGCTGGGAGCATTTGTTTGGGAGCGTCCAGGCTGTGTTCTGGGTGGGATGCACTGGCGGGGTGGCTGCACTGTGCTGAACCGGACGCCTTTTCATTGCTTCCATGAGCAGCTTTGCTTGTGATCCTGTTCTCACAAAGTACTGACCCACTGCTCGTCCGGCTTCTGATCCTACGTAATAATAATGACTTGTCATCATGCACAGGGCCCTGGCGTGAGGCTCTTTAGGAAGACATCTAGGGTTGAGGAGCAGCAACAGCAGCTACATATCCACAAATACCACAAGACACCTGGGTACTTACTCTGTGGTTCATGTTCTTCACACATATTATCCGCGGTGATTTTTGCCTGGAGGCAAACGATAACCCTCACCTCGCAGATGA